GTTTCGTTCAGATATTTTTTGTTTTAGTACAAGGGGTCTCAATAATTTATTCGTGTTGTGGATGAATCGGGCATCTTGGGTATTGGATCCGAATGTTGCTTTAAATGTCGCATTGACTTCGACCGTGATGTATTCATTTTGGAAAATATGTAAATTGAACCTTAAGAGATGGCTTTTCGAACGTCCATTATTTACTTGCTCGGAAAGGGAAAAGCGTCCGGTAAAAAACACCGAACGGTATTAATGCATGCCATCATTAAAAGATGTCGCGTCGGTATACCGTCCGGAATTCACGGCAAGGAACGGTAAGAGCGTACGGGGGAATTTCACCGATCGGTAAAAGCGTCCGGTAAAAATGCACCGATCGGTAAAAGCGTCGGGTATACGGAGATAGGTATACCGTACGTACTGGATTTGGTCATGAAATACCGAACGCTATTACGAGAATTCAGATCGGGTAGTTTAGTAAAAGCGTCACGGTTTTAGGAAAATAGCGTCACGGTTTTTTTCAAAATCCGTGACGCTTTTTCGAAAAAACCGTGACGCTTTTTTTCAAATATCGTCAGGCAAAATTAAGATTGGTCACGTTAAATGAAATAGGTAACGGAATTCCGAGCTATGTACGGTGGTTTAAGTGAAAGGGGTCACGGATCCAAATTAGGCACTGGATTTTAAAAGCGTGCACCAAAACTACTAAATTAGGTACGTATTACTTTTGATACGGAATTCATGCCATAAAAATATTTTAATAAACAGAGGAAAATTTCATCAGCTATTGCCCCGAACCGGTCCGTCTTCTAGCTGCAAGCAGATTGCCCCGAACCGGTCCGTCTTCTCGCTGAAAGCAGGATGAAATTCTTTGTCACAAAGTTTGGCATTTTTTATAAAATCAAACGCGCGTCATTGAAACTCACAAGATGTAAATAGCATGTCATTTACATCATACCTTGATGGGGAAAAATAGATCTTATATGTTAGAAGTACTAAATAAAAGTTATCGTGAAAATGAGACAGTTGTTCTCGAGAGAAAAGAGCATGAATGCGCATTTAGAGAGTTTTGGTCCGTTTAAAAATCTGTAAAAAATTGGGGTATTTAAAAGCATCGGGAGGCATCATATATTTCAAATTAGACACAAGGAAGTCAATATTGAGCAAGTTATGGCTGTTTTAAATTCAAATAAAACCGTTAACCCGTACCAGTCCAGCTTTTGACCCGTACCGGTCAATTTTCGTTAGCTGCGTATACCAACGGTGAATAGGATGGTATAAGATGATGTTATAAAAACGTAATGAGACCGTTAACACGTTAATGGACTGTTACCTAGCCGTTATGCAGCTGGAACCGTGTAAACCCGTTCGCTCTCCAAAGCAGCTGTAACACTAGCCTTGCAGGCCAACCGTTCACCATGGCCAGACGGCGGTGCATGGTATGGTACACGGTTTTGCGCTTTCCGCTCATTGAAAACGGTCAAGAAACGTTGACTGCCATCCACACCCGGCCAAATGTTTGAGCATGCACAAAACTTTCGCCGGTTGAGTAACGTTTGACTGTGAACGCTGACAGCGCTATGGGGATGGTATAAGGACGATGCGGCCGTTAAGAACACGTTTGCAAGGCGATGATGGGACGTTAGTGGGCGTTGACTCGTTCAGCGAGTGATTGCGAACGATACCGTCTGCTAAGCGGACTCTCACCGGGCGTTCGAAATGTTAGAGCGAATGGATTTGCACGGTTCCAGCCGCGTAACGCCTAGGTAACAGTCCATTAACATGTTAACGGTCTCAAAACGTTTATACATCCTCTTTCCATTCTATTACCGTGAATTCGTAATTGTACCGTTTCATGACGCAGTGTCGTAACCGCCTTCTACCGTTTCTACAATTTTGCTTCAAGTTTTTTAAAATATTTGAGATTTGTCCAAAACCAGTCAGCTATCTTTCAATTAACACAAAACATCAATCCCTCGACTTTCTCCTATATGTAAATTGGTCTAATGGTCACGGAGCCATTCAGAAAACTCCGACAGTGATTCCTATTATAAACAGAAAAACAAGTTTCACGTGCATTTTAAGTTATCGTACATGAAGAAAATTACTAAATTGCAAAAATAGTAAATTTTAAAGCTCATATTAAAGTGAAAATAAACGTCCAGTTAGCCAAACTATAATCTCTAAACTTCGAAATGTCCACTGTTTTATGTTTTTCCTTTTACGCGATCTTGTTAACGTGACCGTCTATCAAACACCTCTTAGCAGGTATAATATCGTCGAATACCCCCCTTAGGGCTAGGCACAAAAGCTTTCCTTTGGTCGTTCGGGGTACAGAAAACGTTTGTACCTAGCCTTGGGGGTGTATTCGACGATATCATCCCTGCTCTTTGGTCTATATTTCTTAAATAAATGGCTTTTAAACTAGGACGTATACCCTTAGAACAGGCTCGGCAAGGTGGAAATACGTCTCTTTTATATTTGCAACAATATTTTCTATTTTTGCTCGAATCACTGTGGATTTATGAACATTTCTGTTGTATTGTTTTTTAGGGATTTTGTGTAGTCGTATAGACGTTTCTGGCATGGATGAATTGAATGGGATTTATGTGGAAACTGATACGAATATCGACACTTTGCAAAGTTACACAAGAGAGAGTCCTCCAGAGTACAACATCTACTTCAAAATGGATTTTATCAATTTTGAGGGCAGATGGTTGATTGATAATAATCTTTCTCCGACTTACTTTGATGCTCGTTCGAATATTTTCAAACGTTTTAGCTCTGACATTGGAAAAGATCCTACCGCTTGGCAGCTCAGCTGGGAATTACTTGGAGATAGTAAATGGGTTGAGCAGAGAAACGCAAAATGGAGTTGTGTTGATGGTATGTTACAATAGCCCTATTTACAATACACGCGGCATTCCAAGACGTCTTAGCTAAAACATTTTAGGAAAATTATGTTGAGTTTACACCACCATTTTCAAGACGTCTTACGAAATATGATTGAGTTTACACCTGTTTTTCTAAAACGTCTTAGAGATATGTAGGTAAACATGTAAATTGAAAAAGCCGTTCAGTACTTGTTGAAAGACGGTTCAGTCAATATAGCTATTCCTTTCCCTCTACTATACTTTGTTCTAAAGAATGCATCGGTTTCAAAAAACTATGTCCTAAAGACAGCATTGTTAAAAGCGTGGAAGAGAGCAGGTAGATTTTATGCATAAATTAGGATTATGATAAATCGCCAGGCAATGAGTTCTTCGCAATAATTTTGGGATGATATTGGGAACAAGGGATACGTCACAAGACAGGACCGTGCGACATATGTAAATGGAAAGTTTCAAATGTTTCGTTCGGTGCAACGCAAAAAAAACGGACTTCGAGCTCCTAGCTAAAACCGATGGATTTACACTCGCTTGTAAAACGTTTTAACGCTAAGACGTCTTGGCTCTGACTAGGGTCCTAAACGTTTTAGCAAAGCGCTCTTAGCCGAGAGCTCTTGAGAAAATCTGGATTTAGAGATAGAGATATTCAGCTTGCAATCCACCCATCAACATACTCGATGATTTTAAAATGTATAGGTCTGGGATAGGTTTAATGCGTACCACGTCGCTATAAAATGAATTACGCTATAATTTTCACAATTTTATTGATATTAGGTGTCCACTACATACATAAGGGTATAATTGAATTTTAAAGAGGCCTAATTAAATAAAAGTTTTCCACATTTAAATTAAATAGAAAATGACCATTGACTCCGCACCAAACGCTCTTTCTGCCACACCAAATATTTCTCACAGGCTCTGTCTGCATAGGGTGATTCATGACCAGAAAATATTCAAAAGTCAAGTTAGAATCGCCTGAAATTGTTTGCGATAACCCACCTGTTCCCTTTCGAACCAAATGTCCATCAAAATCATCGCTTTTTGGAATTTCATTGAAGAAATGCACAAACCGCATTTTATAACATTGATTAAGATTATTTCATAAACAAAACTGGTTTAAGGGAGTGGTATCGATATGGAGAACTGAATTCAATGTTTTTCTCTTAAACCAATCATTGAAAACATTTCTGTAAAGAAACACGGTATTTTATGTTATATTGACTGATTGACAACAATTTGATGTAAAAATTATTTAGAAATATTTTATATAACTGTTTTTGTTAACATTTTTTGTTCTTTTAGTGCAATTGTTTTTGCTCCTTTCTACCAATTCTTGAGAATGAAATAGATTGTATTTCCGAACCTTGTTAGAACAAAATAGCATATACAACATGTTTTTAGACCTCTCAATATTATAGTTATACAAAATAATTTTTGGTTGATTTAAAAAAAACGTATTCAAAAAAATAAACAAAAACAAAATCCCCAAAATAGATAAAAATCAAGATAAACCTTCTATTTCATTAACAAGATACTTTTTTAAAATCAACCAAAGTTTCCTTTGTACAATTACAATATTGAGAGACCTAAACATGTTGTTTGTGTCGTTTTGTTCCAATGAGGCTCGGAAAGATGTTTCATTTCACTCTGGAAACATGATACCAAGAACAAAACAAGTGTCTGGTGTGTTTTCTAAAACAATTTAGTCAAAAGTATATACAGGGTGTTCAGAAAATAAAGATAATAGTGTCGTAACTTTAATATTTGTTTATGGATTGTATTGAAATTTTCAGAAATTATAGTTTTAATATATTTGAACTTATTGTTGGAGTTTCAGCTTCAGGCGATGCGATTTGTTGATTCTACGGTTGTCATAGCAACGCGAGTAGCGCCATGGCGGGGCAGGTGGAATAATTGCAACTATTCGCATGTTTTGAATGTTTTAAAAATAGATTCTATCATGTTCATGACTTAAAATGGATGCTTAAACAAAAACTATAAGCCTGAACCAATTTATCAATGTATTCTACATATTTCCCTCCATTTCAGAAACAAATTCTTTGCCTCCTAACGTTTCTTCAAAACTTCACAAAATTCTTGACTCATTTCCTGAAGTCTGTTTAACACATGTGAACGTATAGCATGAGTATTCTCAAATACATAGCCTCTTAAGTCCCGGTTTGAATCAACAAAGAAGTATAAATCATTTGATGCTAGGTTGGGTGAATAAGGTGGCTGCTTGAGTTGCTCTAATCTCAGCTGCTCGATTTTTCAAGTGATGGTGGCAGCAGTATGAGAGGGGGAATTGTCAAAGTGGACGATAAATTGCATCCCGGGTCGCTTTCTTCGTAATTCCTCGTAATTCCCGCATTAAGTAGTGAAAATCCCATTGAATATCATTAAAATATCAGTTGTTTGACTTTTATATCATGAAACAAAACATTAAAATAATTTTATCATGGAGATGCACCAAGAAAGCTTTACATATGGATGCGAAAACGGGTTTCCATTCTAAATGTTTCACAGAAACTATTGCAGTTATTCCATGTGCCCCGCCTTAGCGCTACTCATGTTGCTATGCCAACGACAGAATTGACCAATCAAATCGCTTGAAGCTGAAACTCCAAAAGTAACTGAAAATATGTTTAAACTATAATCCTTGCAAATTTTATTGAAATCCATGAAAAAAATAAAAAAGTTATGACATTATTATCTTTATTTCCTGAATGCATTTCAAATTATATTATTACCATTCAAAAGATGACCATTAAATTGACGATGTGTTAAATTTTTAGATTTCTTTATGACTGGTTTAAGAGAAACATGTGTTCAAAAAGTTCTCCATATCGATGCCACTCCTTTTATGTTGGACATTAAACAAAAACAAAATGTGTGTATTTCAGATAAAAGTCGTTAAAGATGCAGTATACCATAGGTTTCCCTCCCAGACAATGATGTCCCATTATTATTGCTTATATAATATCTTACAAACCTTGGATATACCTTTTGAATAACATAGGGGTAAATCATTGCTGATACCAAACTTTAGAAATAAACATGATTGATTCCGCGGCTAGCGGGCGGAATTCCCGTCGACTCACACAGTTGCCCATTCGCGCCTGGGGCCAGCAAGCAAACCAGGTTCATGATAAACAAATCCAATGACCAATCAGATAACAGATGGTATTCCCGGCATATTCAAACGTCAGTTTGAATTGATTTACGCTAAAATAATTAAATCCCTCAGTGCAATCGCAAAATTAACACTGAAAGCGGGGGATTTGGGACTTTTTCGTTGGTAAGTAGACAAGTGAATATGTGCTGAAACATAATATGCAAAAAGGGGATGAGAGATCTTGATTGTGCTATTTTTCAGACATTTTTTACAATGTTTTATGCCACGGGATGTAGTTGACATTTCAGCAAATAATACATTTTATGATTTTGAACGTACAGAAAATATTTTATATTCATATAACTTCTACAATTGATTCGGTTGCAAGTGTAAAAATGTAAAAGTGGTTCGCATGTCAGTTGACTGATGTTACTACGAAAGTTTTCTGCTTAAACATATATATCTTTGCTGCCTAATTATAATTGCTCAAAATACTTGTACTCGAGACAGCAGTCATTTTGGGATATTCGTCAGTGTTTAGAAGATCCTTTCCTGTATGAAGATTAGGTCAAACCGTTGGAATGATTTCCTCATCGGAAGCAAACTGACTGTTTTATCTAAATCGTAATTACATTTCCCATGCACAAGTACATTCATTTGACAATTCCAAGTATACTGTTTGAAAAAAAAATAAAACGTCAGACAAAATCTTTACCTTATTGTATTTGGAAGAAAATATCTGATATTTTCATATTATTAACACTACATTCCAGGTCGTTAATTGTTGCTTTTTTAAAAAACATTGTAATGTTTCGTTGTAACTATGACTTTTACCCTTATTTTTAGATATCGATGATTGCAAAGACTCGTCTTGTGAGAATGGTGGATCTTGTATAGACGGCGTGGACAGTTATAGTTGTAACTGTGTCTCTGGCTACACTGGTCGTCGATGCGAGACAAGTAATTAGAATCGTTTACATAACTTTTCATAGCTTTGTGCATATTGCGGGGTTATTGATCAAGAAAGGATCAAAGAACAATAAAAGTGATTCTCAGCAAAGCCTAGGGAGTATTTCTTAAGCTTTTAACAAATAGAGTTGGGATATGTATCAGCAATTATTGGAGAACACTGTGCAGTCTAAATACTTCTAAAGGTTTATATATATTTACGATCGTGTGATTAGTTAAGAAATATTGTATCGCATATACGTTATCCCGTACCAGGACTATAGTCCTGAGAACGCCTCAATCTTTTGCCTGTACGATTACAACTTGGGAGAATTTTCTACACTTAAGATACCTACTTCAAGAGATTTCTTGGTATTTTAGCACTCTTTTCGTGTTAGCATTCTTTTCGTGTAGTTAAATCCACAATTGTCTGGGTATATTGTCAGAACGAAAACATATTCGTTTTAGATGGCAATATTTGCGTGTACTATTTAACTTATTTCAACCGTCAAATTCCTCCATTTATTGGTACTTCCGGGCCACTTCCGGGCCAGTCAAACGGGGAATCCCCTTTTAAATCCAACCGCCATCTTAAAAAGTGATGGAATCACTCTCGATGAAAAAGAAAACTGTTCCCATTCTGTCGATATATACCCAGGCAATTGTGGATTCAACTACTCAAAAAGAATGCTAAAATACCCAGGAATTTATCGAAGTACCTGGTAGGTATCTTTAGTGCAAAATGCGCAGATAATTCTCCCAAGTTGTAATCGCACAGGCAAAATGTTGCGCCCGGTCAAGGACTATAGTCGGGATAGCATATACGTAAATGGGTTCGGTCCTGGCGCTGTAAGCAAACTCGAATGAATCTGGTAAACGTGTAAATCTTTACCTTATTTGGTATTGCTACTTCCACAGACAACAGACACAGTGTTGTTCTTTTGGTCTAATAATAGTTTGGAAAGTTAGAATCAGGGTGTAAGCAGTACATGACTCAGTAATGCAAGGTATGCCTAATAATATTGCCAATCGCTGTTAGTATGGATGGTTGAAACAGAGTTCTTGCACTTTTGGGCTGTACTCTTGTAAGTGGCAATGTTGTACTGATGTTGCAGACAAAGTGTCGCGACACATTCGAATGCAACATTTCAATATGCCTCAAGTTTCATTCAGTTAGAGAATCGTTCTTGAAGTTTTCAAATCAACTTCCTTTCACCAGAAAAATTGTCTAGTCTTCAGACCTGCCAACCTCCCGTTTTTTACGGGAATCTCCCGTAAAATTTTTGTTTTTCCGTAAAAAGAACAAAACTCCCGTACAGTTTTCTCTCGTGAACACTCCCGTAATTTCCCGTGCCGTATTTCTACTAAAATCTCCCGTAAATTTGTTCGTAAATCTTCCGTATTTTTGCTGAAACCTCCCGTATTTATACTGTTTTTCCGTAAAATCTCCCGTTTTTTCTTAAATCTACCGTATTTTTCAAAGGAATCTGACAAGAACTACTTTTTAGAGTCTATAGTTTACATGATTTGGTTTGGTATGATCGGTGGTAGTTAAATTCAGCGGCAATTTTTCTTTTTTCTGTGTACAAATTATCCGTACAACTTAGTTTTCGTAAACAACACAATGAAATGATGAAATCATCCTATCTTTTAGACATAGATGACTGTCCAAGCTCTCCTTGTACAAACCCGAACCAACGGTGTATTGATGGTTTGAACAGCTATACATGTGCATGTAAAGAGGGGTTTACGGGAAGTGATTGTGAGACAGGTATGTATAGGGGTTGAAATCGGATTTAAAGCAAGTTAGAATACATAAATATGGACTGATTTTTCAATATAGATATATTCGTGTTAATCTCTCCCATCGCAGTGCTAGTGTTCAACACACCACATCTATAAACCAGACGCTGAATATTTTAATTAAAATTCAAGATATTCGATGAAAAACTAGTCATGGGGAAAACAAAACTCAAATACCAAAATTACGATCTGAATTCAGATATTGATGAATGTCAAAGTGACCCATGTTCAAATGGAGGAAGTTGTATAGATGAAGAGAATGGATATGAGTGTAATTGTGTTCCTGGATATGCTGGCGCTGACTGTGAAACAGGTACTTAAAGATTTGCAGTGATGTTTGCACTGCCCTTTAAGAACATGTGTGGAAGCCTGTTCTGATATTTCAACAATATTGAGCTATAGACAAACATGCATCTACTGGTAAATAACCAAAACATAAAATGATCACCCTCCTCACTCGCCAGTTTGAAAATACACGCAGATGGCATGTGTTTTTGACAGCATATTAAGTCGACGAGCATTTTAGATTGATCATCATGATCTTTTTGATATATGGATATGTGACAATACCGATAAATATATATTCTGGTAAAGTGTTTATTGCAAAAACATTGTTGTTTTATTATAAAATGCTGTTAAACCTTCATCTTTTAGCAAGTGCAGCTCAAAGCGTTGGTCAATCCAAGCAGTTTGCGATTTGTGTGGCAGTGGTATTAGCCATAGTTGATATATAGTCGACATATTGCTATGTCTGTTGCTGTAGAAGAGACAACGATAAACAATGAGCACAAAGCAAGGAATTATAAAATGAAATGACATTGTGGATATAGTCGATGTCAAGGGGCATAATAAGAAAGTACAGGATGAGAAAAAATAAAATCCAAACAAATGTTCATAACTTAGTATACTTAAACTGTGTTCGATGTTCTTTGGTCCAAGTTTACAATGTATGATTCTCGGTGATTTTAGGATTCTTGTGATTGTGTTATAATGTATTTGTCTCTTTGTATTGAAGATTCCTGCGATTATTGTAGGGAATATGATTTATGAGTTTCGGGGTGTTTTGAAATTATGCGCTCCATAAACATTAGCAGAACTTGCGCAAAGTTACGAAGTCGTAATTCGTAACTACATGAAATTAGTTAATATTTAAAAAGTTACGAATCCGCCTATAAGAGAACATTTTCGTGAGTCATTCGTAACTCGTATCGTTCATAAACGAATTTCGAATTTTGACGTCATCTTACATTACTATTTAGCAATATTAATATAACGTATGTAAATTATCATTTTGCGTGCATATAAAAACTAGTTTTTTTGCCAAACTGTATACCTTACATGAGAAATATATGAGAAATATGCTGTTCCAAAAGTTATGAAAGGGTCTGAGGGCTATTAAAGTTACGAACGAAAGCATAAGTGATGTCACTTTTTCGTAACTTTACGAAAGTTCTGTTTATGCACAATTACCAAATTCGTAAAATGAACAATTGACTTCCGAATTCCTAACTTTACGAAAGTATCAGAGAACGAGAATGCATATTATTCAAGCGATGTTTAAAATGTATATGACAAGAGTGATCGGACTCTTTAATATTCAAGAGTATATTAAAATCATGTTATTTTATCTTATATTATCTAGTATATATTTTAGCACTGACTTTGTATTCCATATGATATAAATTTTCGTTGAGTAAAAAATATTATGTACAATATAGCAAATAGCATATTTATATAAGGGCCAATTTATGCCTTGGTCACATTTGCTCCGATTTTCACCACGGCGCCCGACCGAGTGAGTATTTTGTTCAAAATCGAATACAATATTGAACAAAACACTCAATCGTCCGGGCTCCGGCATATGGATCGGAGCAAATGTGACCCAGGCATTACGATAATTGAAATTTTAAAAATCTGTTGTTGTACTAGAGACTGCGAAATATATGTTGATTTCATGGACATGCAATGTGTTATTTTATGTTGACCAGACTTCAAGTAATCACAGGGTACTTGGAATATTGCTTATCCTGTGAAAATATATCGCTTTAATGATTGATGTTTTGACAATTAACACATATTTTATTTTTTCGGCAAATACAAACTCCGATTTCTTGAACTATAATGTATCGATTGAGTTGATATTTTTAGCATGTTAATAAAATGTACGTGATACCAACTCTTGAAAGCAGGATCTTTGATATGTCTTTGTCACATAATTAAGTATATTTTACCATATATATACGATTTTTCAAATATTTGTATTCTCCAACACATTGGCCATATTAATATGTACAATTGATACATTATTTGGTGAAAGCAATACAACAAGGTGTATTTTGATTCCATATCTTAAATTGCAGACAATGAAGTGTAGATATTTCTGTCGTGAATTCAAGTTGTCTAGATTAAGCTGTCCAATATTTTGAATCCTCCATACATAAAATATCATATTTTTGAAAAATATTTTCTGATTATTATTTTGAGAAATGAAAGCAGTTAATAGAAGTGTTTAGATCATCGTTATCAAATTTTGAATTATTTCAAGTGTCTTTGAAAAACTTAAAAAGCATGTCAAACCAGGAAACAATATATTTCACTCTCAATTTCACATATGATCATGTTATAACTGTGGGAATAGCGATGCATGTAACCCTTACATTCCTATGCCTATTTCACATGCTATGGTTTCTTTTTTCACGACTAACGCAGAACCATACAACTCACTTTGAATGATGTTATTCATTCCCTAACTGCCCACGCTGTGTGTTTCTCCATGATATAATATTTTGAATGCCGTTTGTCGTTCCCTATTATGAATGTTTGGCCTTTACCTAAATGATAAATATTGCATGCCTATCTTAGTCATTGTAAGTGCTTGATCATGAATACGTTTATATCATTCCAATGAAAGTGATTGCATCCTTTGCAATCTTAAATATTTCACATGCAATATAAGCAACATGCCCTTAGCCAACTTTTAGTTAAGGGGGGGGGGCTCGAACCCATCCCCCTGACCTCATATAAAAAAAATCCCATGCTAAATCAACACCTGGGGCGACCCTGAACATTTAGAGGGTGGGAGACGAAAAAAAATTTATTGAAATAATGCCCAAAATTCAAAACAGTGACCAATGATTCCAGTTTTTATCTAAATTGTCCAATTTACGTGGAGAGGAGCAGATTTTGGGCCCAAAAATTAAAAGGGAATGGTTCAAGATCGCACGAGCCCCAAACTCCCTCCGTCATCCTGGCTACGAGCCTGAGCAATATAAAGAAAGGCTTCAGACAAAAACGTGCGTGCGCGTTACTTGGAAAAAGAAATAACCGCAGTAAACTTACAGAATAAAAAACAATAGACACTTCTAAAAAGATCAAAAGATACGAAAACAAAATTAAGTCTCCTGTTTAAAAAGCCCTATTATTCACTAAATTAGTTAAATTCAAAGTTTGCTCAGTAATACATTTCTCCTTCTTACGAAAATGACCAGAATAGTGGAACCAATTCTCAAAAATTCTTGAAAGATACTTCTGCTGGAATGCGTATCGGTTTCTTTACGTAATGTAAATGTCTGTAAAAACATACGAGACAGTGACCTTTACAGTGAAATTCAGCAGTAAACCTACACAAATTCCGAATGTAGTATACTACGGTAAAATGCGTGGGGACATTTGCCAACGCAAATCCAAGTCGTTTGTGTTGTACCTTACCGTAACCGCGCATTAAACCGTATACTACATTGATAGTTTGTTAAGGTTGAACTATAAAATTCACAGTCAAGTTCACTCTGGCTTTTTTCAAAATATACACCCAAAACTTATGAAATCCGATAGCTATACACATAATAACTGAGCATCACGTTGTTGTACCTCGCCTGACTCCATATGTCATTACCTGCTCCATACAGTATCAGGTATGCCTATAGAATAATTCATGATTGTTGAAGAACTTTTCACATTTGGCCAATACAGGGGTTTCTATATGGCTAAATAAAGCTGATATAATGTCACACTTGTGTATTTTTGGTTGGGCCAGACTGGCAAAGACTTCCATGCTATGAACGTGTAATGGTCACTTATTTTCATGATTTATGATTCGAAAAGGCGTTGGTTTAATCATGGGCTCTATCAGATGGGTATGCAACGAGCCATTGGCGCTGTGTTAAATGGTGGCCTCGGCTTGGCGAAGAACCGGAAGTTGACGCAACGGGGAAAAAATAATGTCCGAAGTTGAAGCCTCGTAGATTCTACTCTTATTTCCGCAATGAAACCCAACTAACCTTCACAAATATTGGTAAGACATTTGACATTTACTTCATTTTAGTGTAGAACTCGTTTAATAGGCATCAAATTGCCTAAATTGGTCACGATATTGATTTACATTGTGAAAATCGAAATCCGCCATTATTTTTTTTGCTCGTCAATTTTCTTCATTTCAACACTGAATTTCAGGACTTTGAACCTATTCATGACACCTTTGAGTACACATTTATTCACTAAGTTAGGCTTAATATGTTGAGTCATCGTTGTTTTTTGAAAAAAACGTGACAAAAGTACACCCCTTTTTGTATCCAATTTTCAATCCACTGAGGCTATATTTACCAAATTTTCTCATTTTGTCAAGTTGTTCAGTTTTGATATGAAACATGACTGGTATAAAGTTTATACACCATTAGAAAGCCCAATTTGTCTCCTATCTGATGATGTGACTGTTACTTGGGGAAAAGTAGTATATAATCTGTAATGGCTTGTTAAAAATGAGACAAAATGCCATTTCGGTCCATGTGAAACATGACGCGACGAATGAATTTTCTGACTTTTGTCAAGTTGTTCAGTTTTGATATGAAGCATGACTGGTATAAAGTTTATACACCATTATAGAGCCCAATTTGTCTCCTATCTGATGATGTGACTGTTACTTGGGGAAAAGTAGTATATAATCTGTAATGGCTTGTTAAAAATGAGACAAAATGCCATTTCGGTCCATGTGAAACATGAAGCGACGAATGAATTTTCTGACTTTTGTCAAGTTGTTCAGATTTGATATGAAGCATGACTGGTATAAAGTTTATACACCATTATAAAGCCCAATTTGTCTCCTATCTGATGATGTGACTATTACTTGGGGAAAAGTAGTATATTTTCTGTGATGGCTTGTTAAAAATGACACAAAATACCATTTCGGTCCATGTGAAACCTGTAGCGACGAATGAATTTTCTTACTTTTGTCAAGTTGTTCAGTTCAAATGAGAAACATGACTGGTATGAAGTTAATACACCATTTCAAAGCCCTGTTTGTCTCCTATCTGATGATCTTACTCTAATCTGGGAGAAATTAGTATATTTTCTGAAATGGCTTGTTAAAAATGACACAAAATGCCATTTCCATCTCCGTTGGAACTGGCACAATGACTACATTTTCTCATTTTGTCAAATTGTTCAGTTTTGATATGAAACATGACTGGTATAAAGTTTATACACCATTATAAAGCCCAATTTGTCTCCTATCTGATGATGTGACTGTTACTTGGGAGAAAGTAGTATATTTTCTGTGATGGCTTGTTAAAAATGAGACAAAATGCCATTTCGGTCCATGTGAAACCTGTAGCGATGAATGAATTTTCTGACTTTTGTCATGTTGTTCAGTTTTGATATGAAACATGACTGGTATAAAGTTGATACACCATTATAAAGCCCAATTTGTCTCCTATCTGATGATATGACTGTTACTTGGGGA